TACTATTAGTAGCTCAGTATTTATTTATTTTTTAAAGAGAAAGAGAGAGAGAAGAAAAAAACTCTGGCAGGGAAATAATAACAAAATATATGATCCACAGAGGTGGTGGAAAGATATGATGTTATTTTACATATTTGATATAGAGCCTAAATTAAGCCATAGAAAAGAGCCCATGAATCTTCACAGCCTCATTATCAAGCCTCCTTAAACCTCAAATACAGAAAAATACATTTCATAAACAAAGACCCAATAGGATTTTAATAGTACAATAAATTTCACAGACATTTGCACTAATCACATTTCACTACATTTTTTTTTTTTTTAAGAAAGAAATTCCATTTGACGGAGAGTCAGATTTTGAAAGAGGGCACAAAATATATTTTAGGGAGCCGGTTTTCAACTAGCCATGGAAACGCGTCAAATATATTAGAGTCACATCAAGTATTAGGAAAGTGAAAATATGCACATATGCTTCTCCCCCCACTCCTCAGACTTCCTGTGTCAGGTCTCAGTCCCCTAAATCTCTCCTATCGCATCTTCCCTCCAACCAGCCCACAGGGCAGGAAAGTCAGACCTCAGTGAGAGCTGTCAGTCCCTGAGGTGTTGGAGGATCCTGCATACCATTCCACAGCTCTACCTTTTCTTCAATCTGTGGGTGGGTTTTCTGGTGCACGTTTCATCTGTTCATTACCTAATTTTACTGAAGAAGCTCCAGCTTGAATGCCATCGTCACAATAATCTCTAAGCCAAGAGATATGTTTACCCAGGACTCCCCATAGATTAGAGCAAGAGGGGGTCTTACTTGGGCCCTGCCCTTCAGCTGGCTCTTCTCTGACCTTCTCCATGGATCAAAAGGATGTGCCCACCTAAATGTACCCCCATTCTCAAATCTGTTAAGTCCTGGGACCCTGTTAAGTCCTGGGACCATGTTAAGTCCTACCTTCATGGTCCCAAGCTTACTTTGGGGAGGGGGGAGGATGAATTTTTAGATGAGATTAACCTTTATTTTTATTTCTTTAAATATGTTTTCATTTATTTGATTCTTATACACATGTTGAATCATTCAATCATGTATGCATTCGTTTAGCAAATATACAGGGATTTCTCTGATGTACCAGTTGTTATTCTAAGCTCTGGGGATACCACAGAGACATTCTCTCTTTCGCAAAACTTAAAGAGTCCAAAGGGGGAAGTGAGCAATAAAAATAATGCAAACACGATATTCTGAGAGCGGTAATGCAATTTTGGAGGTATTCCTTAAGCAACAAATGAGTGAATGTGGAAGTCCTTTATGGAAACAAACTTTATTTTTGGCTGGCCTTTTTTACCACCAAACTGGGAAGAAAAAAAAAAAAATTAAACAGAGGATCTCTTTTACGTTTCTATTAACTGTGGCTCCTGAACTAATTCAATGATGAGTCCACTTAACGATTGCTATTTACCAAAGCACATCCTGGACTGCTATCCCTTCTATGGAAATGTTAGGTCTGACATGGAGAATAGATTCCTTTGAACCTGAGAGGAGGAGGGGCACAGCGCATGAAAGAACTGCCATCTTCTTTCTTTCAGTTTCAAGTGCATCCCTTCCCTTACCTCAGATTCTAATTCAAGGGGCTGCAGCCCCATGGTCCTTCCCTCAAACCAGGTTCCATTAAGCCACTGAGCCACTGATAGTGGCTTTTTAATTTAATCCTTCAGGTGTTGCATCAGACAGAACAATGCTGGGAGCCACCAGTGGAAATATGATTGAAGCTCCCTCACCACCACCATCCCCCTCCCCCGATACCGCCCGGCGCCCCCTTCCCCCTGCACCCTGCAAGTTTTACTATCAATGCAAAACCCACAAATAAAAATGAAGATGGGAAAATGCATCACTGAAAATCTAATGTGCAGTTGGCTAAATGATAAACCAATTTGAATTAGCGAATACTAATTGAAAAACTGCATGACAAAGTATTTTCCCATTAAAACAGAAATTTGCTAAAGGCGTTTTCAATTATTTATGGTGCTTCGGTGAGAAGCTCCACACACATCCTAACTTTGCCTACTGATCGGGTTTTGAGCACACCAGCACCTAGCCCAAATGACTTTAACAATTCAATGCCAATGACCTTGAGGATGTTCTTCGATTTTTATGAGGTTCTTTTTTCTCTCTCCACTGTCCTCACACCTAACTGAACAGATGCTTTTCACTTGATAGCCTAATTACGATCTCTGAGTTTTAATATTTTTAACCTTATCAGGGCTTATCCGCATCCCAGAATCAGTTCAGTAGACTTTATGAGACAAGCGGACTATGTAGTCATTGTGGCCATCTGAAAGGACATTTTGGATGAAGGACTGTCTCCCTTTGAAGTTCACAAATATTTGAACGTCCTTTCAAATGCTGAGATAACGTACTCTCCTCAAAATCAGGGCAGAGGTGACTGCTGGGAGCCAGAATTGTGGATTCCTAGCCCACCGGGAAGGGAATATATTTGGAACATATTATAATACCCTGTTGGTGCCCAATAAATGTTTATTAATGAGCCCCATGCTTTGACCCAGGCGTGGAGAATAAATCCAAGGAAGGAAGATTATGCAAACAGACAGGAAGGTCACCCAGCCCTACATGGGGTGTGGCCCATGGTGGGGGCAGGCCCAAGGCACACAAGTGACAGGACATTCTCCTGGGTGTCCAGAGGTGACCCTCATGAACCCCACGCCCATAGTTGCCTAGTCCATTATAAAACCGCGTGGAAGAACATTTTAGTCAGTGGCTGTTAAAATGGTTGTTTGAGAACAAAACGAAACCACACACACGCTCTCTTCTTAAGAGCTTAAAAGATTATTGGGCCAGACTCCTGATGGATACTCAAGAGTGAGAGAATCACATCTCAATGACCTATGAGATTCATTAGTAATCAATATGTCTACCTTGTGCAGCTGGATGGTGGAGAGCTCTCCTGCAGCCAGACTTAGAAATGTCTCTCTAGCGAACTAATTTCACATGAATGAGATGTGTTAGAAAGAATGACAAGTCCTGGGAATTCACGTGATCCCAAGTGATGACAGTGGGTAAGGGGCCCTGGAAAGGCAGCCTTTACAAAACAGTATCACTGTCCCTGATATAAATCCGAAAAGGCACGGAGCAGTTACCAACATGCCTAGTCAGATGCATCTGTCCTTCCCAACACTGCAGAGCAGACCGTGTGACTTGGCACCAGTTGTTAGCTATTTAAAATGATTGTTTTTAATCTAGTAAGTAAAACTGAAATTTGCAGTGGTTTCTTGTAATAAAATATTTATGATGCTAGGAAAATAGCTAAATAGCTCTGTTCTGAAAGTAAACAATGGAAGGAAACTACACTGCTATCTTCCCCGTAGGACATAGAGCTCAAAACACGCGCACATAAAAGACAGCCAGATCTAGCATTAAGCTGTATTGCATGGACATTCTCTTCTGTTAATTGAAATCTTATCTCAGGTGGCGATTACCTCTTTCCTCAGCTGCCCTCACCCTTTCTAGCCTGAAGGCCCAGAACTTGTGAATTATTAAACAATCATATTTGTAGCAGCAAATTGATTTTTGAGAGAATCCATATTGATTGAAATATTCAAGACTAATGATTTTGAGGTTAAGGTGTTTAGATGGTATTGCCTCTGATGGACTAAAAGGGTAGGGCTTTTATTTTTTTCCTATTTATATTATTTTCCATTAATTGCTAGTTGAACTTGCTCTTCCTTTTGAATCCATCCATCATACTAAAACCTGGTGGGGCCAGTTGGCTTTCTAAAACAATGCCAGGTGTTGCCCGAGTCCATGAAAAAAGGAGACCATATAGGTGAGCCAGCTGGTTGGCATCCTAACTACCTGGGCTGAAGTCATATTTGTAGTTGTTGGTTAGGCTAATTAGGCATGCTTTATTTCAGTCATTGCAGCTTCATGGAATAGCATCCTGGTTTAATTCTTTTAAGCTTCTGTTCCTTTTAAGTTGGAGTGTTGAAGTGTATGGGGAAGGGAGTAATATGTGTGTGTAGACACACACACAGACGCACACATTATGAGCATTTTCTTCTCTGACATACTGGGTCATACTTAAAGGGAGTGTTAGTTTAGAGTGATTTATATTTTGCATATTATACACGGTTTCTTCATACTTTCCCTATTAGCCTTGGTACTTTTATCAGATACATCTTTCCCAGGAACTTGGACTGGATGTTTTTATTACTTGGTGGTGGGTAAGTTGTGAAACAAGCTTTGAAGTATGAATTCAGCCCTGGGAGACTTGCAGAGCAATGAACTTGCAGAAGGTGTTAGGGTCTATCCTGGAGAGCAGTCCTTTTTGCAATTTTTGTCACAGGGGAGGACAGTTTAATCCCCAGTTTAATCCCCTATGCCACACACAACTGCCAGTGAGTCACACGAGAGTCACCCGAGAAGCGCACAGTGGTGAGAACTGGGTAAATTAATAGCTAGTTACCAGGAAAAAGGAACACCAAGTTCATAGTCAAATGCATGTCACTGTAGGTCAGCACCTCTGTCATACATGGACACATACTATAATAACTCCTGAGAGTATTTGAGATGTCTTACCTTGATTCAGTCTCTCAAAGGAGTTTGTAGATGATTCATAGGCTCAGATTCCAACACTTAATAAATACTAGTAAGATTATCTTTGTGATACCAATTCTGTAGGAAATCTTAGTGCTGGTCTGCCACTGATTGGCTACATAAACTTAGCATATTTACTATCACCAGACCTCAGAAGTTCATATAAAATAAGGTAAACAAAAGCTTCTCCATTTTTGAAATACAGTACAGTGCACCTACACATTTTTATTATTGTAGTTGATATTCGAGTTAGAAGCTAAGGTTTTTAAGGTTGTAGAATGAAAGTCTGTGGCTCAGACATTTTCTTTCTCTCTTATCCCACATCAAAATCATCACCAAATCCTGGTGGCATGACCTTCACAGTATATCCAGGGACCCCCTCCACGTCTCCCACCCCCAGGCGTACCTCTGGGGTCCAAGCCACCGTCACCTCTTCCTGGAATAGAGCTGTTGCCTCCTAGTGGGTGTCTTAGCTTCCGGCCTTGCCTCTCCTCAGTCTACTCTCTAAACAGCGGCTGGAACATCCTGTATAAATGTAAGTTACATCAGGTCACTCATCTCCCCAAAACCCTGCAGATGGCTTCTTCTCCTTCACTGTACAGGTTATGGCCATGATAGTGATGTCTATGATCCTACACATGTGACCTATCCCCCCTTTTCCCTGACATGGCCTCTCATGTTGGCTCTTTTGTAGATACTTCACTTGGGTCCATTGCTGGCCTTGCTTTCCTCCATAAGCCAGGCAACTCCTGCCCTTTGTATCTGCTGGCCCTGAGACTAGGAGCCTCCCTTCCCAGCCATTCACATGGTCATCCCCTCAACTTCTTCTGGTCTTTTTGCAAATGTCATCTCACGGGAGTCTTCCCTGACATCCCTACTAGAAATGACCAACCCTCCTTCGCTCACTCTGTTTCCTTCCGTTATGTGGTTATGTGACATACTGTCTATTGTTATTTTTTTATATGTGTACTTTCTTACTAGAATGTAAGCTCTATGCAAGCAGAGTCTCCGTTATTCACTGCTGTATGCCCAGACAGTGCTGGATCAATGAACATATGTTAAAAAATAGAAGGAAGAAGGAAGGGATGAAAGAAGGGAGGATTCCAAATCCAGCCCTGCATTCTAGCAACGTATTTGATTCTCATGAATTAGTAAGCATACGCCTAGTTTTTTAAAAATTTAGTTGTGCTTTTTTTTTTATTATTGATTTCAGAGAGGAAGGGCGACAGAGAAAGAGATAGAAACATCAGTGAATAGCCCTAACTGTTTTGGCTCAGTGGATAGAGCGTTGGCCTGTGGACTGAAGGGTCCCAGGTTTGATTCTGGTCAAGGGCATGTACCTTGGTTGCGAGCACATCCCCAGTAGGAGGTGTGCAGGAGGCAGCTGATTGATACTTCTCTCTCATCGATGTTTCTAACTCTCTGTCCCTCTCCCTTCCTCTGTAAAAAAACAATTATATATATATATTTTAATCAATGATTCGAGAGAATCACTGATTAGTTGCCTCCTGCATGCCCCCAACTGGGGATCAAGTCCACAACCCGGCATGTACCCTGATCAGGACTAGAATGGTGACCTCCTGGTTCACAGGTCAATGCTCAACCACTGAGCCATACCAGTCTGGCAATATATGCCTAGTTTTTAATGTACAATATAGCCAGGGCAGATTCCAAAACTATGTTGCCATAATTGTCCCCACATCACTGGTTATAAACACTACAAATCAGTCACAAATTCTGGTTTAACTCTTGGGCTTTCAATTAAAGTAGAAAGGGATTATTATAATTATTATCATTACCAAATAAACTTCTGTTTATTTTTAAAAAAATGGTGGTCACTTCCAAAAACTATGTTCATCTTTCCAAAAACTACTAATGGACTTGAACCTGTGAAATTACTGATTTGACCTGAGCTTGACCCCTGCAGACAATTCATTTGCCAAGGAGGAAAAAAAAATAGCAATAAAAATGTCTTAACATTTCTCAAACTGAGACCCACAATATTTCTGTTCCTCAACCACATAAACATCGTCTCCAATGTTCTCAGGATAAAGAATAAAAAGGCTGGCTTCTAATTTTTTTAAAACAGAAATGGGCAGCAGCACTTTAAACCTTCTCAGTTGGAAAGTGATATTTTTGGTCAATGATCTATTTTTATTTCTGCTCGGCTGTTTCTCGAGGAGTCCAATGACAAGGACCTGTCCTTCAAAGTTGTAGACTGTGGGCACGGAATTAGCATTTTCAATTACTTCCCCTGGCTAAAGCACACAGGTCTCTTTCCCTCCCTACCCCCCAAACACTCTCTCTCTCTCTTTCTCTCTCTCTCTCCCCTTGGAGGACAGGGAGGGCAGTTTCGGGGTTACCCTTCATTTTTTATTCAGAATGTTCTCAGCAGGCTCCAGGCATACTTTAAAAAGCAATTTATAATTTTTTTCCCAAAAAATAAGAACGGCATCTAGGACTTGAACATCATCAGATGTATGCTTCCATTGCCAAGCCTATCTGTTTTAGTTGACAAATTTGCTTTATGTCATTTTTAATCCGCAGACGTATATTTTTGTAACTCCTATTGACTCTGCAGCAAAGCTAGTTAATGTGATTTTCCTGGATAAGATACTCAGGATAGTTACCCTTGCAGACATTTTTAATAAAAACAAACATCTATTGAGGACTCAGAAATGAGATCAGATTGCTTTATCAACCTAGAAACAACCATCCCTCTATTTCTCATTCTTTTTTCAATACCCTACCTGTTACCACCTTTTTAATACAACCAACTGGTCAGATCAAGGACAGATTTGGAAAGGAAAGACAAAAACCAGCAGCTGCTGCTTAATTTTTGGAAAAGCCATTCTCCAAAAGAAAGCAAACCAGAAAGTACAGGAGGCCAGGTGCAAGGGTCGAGCTCAGGCGATGGGAGTTATAAACTGTCCTACCGTGATGATGTAGTTGTCCTGTCAAGTGGGTGGACGATCTTGAAGGGTCTTCCCTTTATTCTGGCCCTGGTATTTATTTGGTCAGAGAAATAAATGATTCTAACACACTTTGGAAACACATGGTACTCATTAGAAGGGTGCTCACAGAATCTGACAACATTCACTCCAATTCTGAGTTTTTACAGGGCCGCTGTTCTACTTTTAAGCCTTGTGAAGAGTTGTTGGAGACACTGTAGCCTGAGATCTAATCTCTTTGATTGCAAAGAGTCATTCTTAATCAAAGAAGTAAAAAATAAATAAATAAATAAATAAAAAGCAGAGAACTGATGGAATACTCGGGATATAGCTTACACCCTTGGGAAAGGGTGGCATTCATTGAGCACCTACTACCTACTGGTTCCCTGTAAGATTCTTTAAATATTCCATTTCAAGGAGCAGATATCTGGGGCAAAACCACCTTCTCCTCCTTCCCCAAAAGCTGGGGATTAAACTGTCCTCCCCTGTGACAAAAATTGCAAAAAGGACTGCTCTCCAGGATAGACCCTAACACCTTCTGCAAGTTCATTGCTCTGCAAGTCTCCCAGGGCTGAATTCATACTTCAAAGCTTGTTTCACAACTTACCCACCACCAAGTAATAAAAACATCCAGTCCAAGTTCCTGGGAAAGATGTATCTGATAAAAGTACAAAGGCTAATAGGGAAAGTATGAAGAAACTGTGTATAATATGCAAAATATAAATCACTCTAAACTAACACTCCCTTTAAGTATGACCCAGTATGTCAGAGAAGAAAATGCTCATAATGTGTGCGTCTGTGTGTGTGTGTCTACACACACATATTACTCCCTTCCCCATACACTTCAACACTCCAGCTTAAAAGGAACAGAAGCTTAAAAGAATTAAACCAGGATGCTATTCCATGAAGCTGCAAGTGCATAAGCTAGTGGGTGAATTTCTAAACCATGACAATGCCACTGGCTGTTTCATTAAGTTTACCTTTAGCAGGTGTAACCTTCATAACCGGGTGTCTCCATTGGTCTGACATTTACAAGGCAATATCTTTTTAAAGCAATAGCCTTTCGTCAATGTTGAGCCACCTCTTAATTATGGGTCCATTGAACAAAGGTAGCATTCATCTCTTCATTTCACAAAGACAGGCAACTAGCTGCACTGGTAGCAATTTTTATTGGTAGGCAACTGAGTGCTACTTAGATTCACTTTTATTACTCTTCAATAATGAGATTTGTGTTTCGTTTTGTGCTTAAACAATGGATTATACTCAAATGAATCTGTCTTTCCCCTCATTATTATTACTCTTATGACTTTCCTAAGAGAGGAAAGAGAGTATGTTTAGGTACATTTCATTCTATCCTGCCTTAATCAAGTGCTCTTGAGGGAAAATAAGCCAATCTGGAGCTCATCCACCCCACCCCAACTCCTATTAGTTGAGTCACTATGAACTCCAGAGAATGAAGCATCTAAAGCAACATTGAATAATTTCCTTTCTTATATGATGTTCAGAACTTTTTACATTTATATTCACAAAAGGATTAAAGGGCAATGGGATGGCATCTCTTTTTCTTTTATGTCTGCTTCTTGCATTGTTTGGAGAAATTCTGGAAGTAGTATTGGAGCAATAAGTTATATATTTGCTCCATTATTGCTTAACCCTTTTTAGGAGGAACTTTCTTTGCCCTCTTCTAGATTCACAGATTCCCTCTGCCTTATCTGACAAACCCTTAGGAGTCAAGTTCTAAAGCAACCTAACAGTATTCGGAGGAACAGTGCTTACCAACTAGACACAACGAAACTAATGTTCCAAGGAGAACTTCTACTTTTGTTTTTATCCTCATTTTTGTTTTTCTTTTTAAAAAAATATATATTATTGATCTTTTACAGAGAGGAAGGGAGAGGAATAGAGAGGTAGAAACATTGATGAGAGAGAGACATCGACCAGTCGCCTCCTGCACACCCCCCACCCGGATGTGCCCACAGCCAATGTACATGCTCTTGACCAGAATCGAACCTGGGACCCTTGAGTCCAAAGACGGACGCTCTATCCACTAAGCCAAACAGGTTTTGGCTTGTTTTTCTTTTTAACATCATTAAGAAATATTTGGAGAACTTTCTCCATAAATTTTTAGCTATACTAGCAGTGTTGATTTTACTTTTTATTTAAGTACTTTTTTTTTCAAACCTTGGACATAGATGAATGTGAGAGCTGAGAAGGTCCTGAAAGATTGGGAATAAGTACAAGGTCAAGGTCCCACAGCTGGCTGGGGTCTGAGCCTCTAAGAACCTGAGAGTCCTAATTCTCTACCAGGCTTTTTAGTCCCAAACTTCATCTTTCATGAGGAAATCCATCCATGGGTTGCTAAACCCCATTCTGTCTCACCTATTTGTTAACTTGCATAGTATTCAGAAGGCAGTATGAATACTATGCAAGCTAACAAATAGTTGCCTTCTGTATTACACCATTGTGCATGGAATGATAACCTTGCTTGGTAAAATTCACTAGCTATGACCTCCAAGACTGCTGATGGCTCTTGTTCAAACACAACTCTGCAGCCCAAGACCAAGTCATGTGTAC